GATTGAGCAAGACGCGCGAAAGCCGTTGCGCTAACGCGCATCCGTTTTCTTGCTGGCTCGATGTAATTGACCTTCTTTCTCGGGAACGAATTGGTAACACTGTGGCAGGTGATGTGGCACGGAATTTGTTTTGTCCATTGTGTATGCGAGTCCAACGTTTTTGGTTAGGCAACAATTATGGAGGCTCTGCAAGACCTCTTCATTAGGTCTCCCTTGGATGCTGATGGGGGACTTCAATGAAGTCAGTCATAGCAGTGAGAAGTTTGGGGGCAGAGTGGTTTCCATGAACAGATGTGTACTACTCAATAACATGATGACGACGTGTGGCCTGAGCGACCTGGGAAAAGAGGGGCCAGCATTCACGTGGTGTAACACGAGACATGGGCTAGCCAGAATTCCGGAGCGCTTGGACAGGGTTCTCGCTAACTCGTCTTGGCGGTTATTATTCCCAGAAGCATCTGTCAAACATCTGCCTCGACTACATTCTGATCACTGCCCTCTCTTACTACAGTGTGAGGGAAAGTTAACTGTTGATAGATCAAAACGTCCATTCTGCTTTCAAGCAATGTGGACTGCTCATGACGAATGCAAACAAATAGTAGAAAGCTGTTGGGATGCTACAGAAGGCAGTGCGGTAGAGAAGGGTGTAGGAAAGGCTTGCAAACCGGGGGTATTCAAATAAAAAGGAAATTAACGTATTTCCCGAGAGGCGAGCATAGGCTAATATACCTGGCTGGGTTGGATCTCCGATTCACCGGTAGGCTCACAGGACGAATACAGCTTCATAGCTACACTACGAAGAGGACTTGACTTGGAATAGAAAGCAGCACAGAGCCAAAAGAAAGCCCCGTTCGTCCTTTGGCTCGACTCGCTCCTTACATACTGTTAGCCTAACGGCTCACCTCCTCAACTTCGTCGACCCTTACTAAAACCTTTAAAGACTTGCAACGAGCTTACAAAGGCTTTTCCTTAGGAAGTATTTATTTATTCTCCGGGGTCAGACTTCGGTCCTACAGACAGGCCGAACTTTTTGGGGTAAAGGAGGGATTGCGGTTAGCAAAGCAGCTTGGGGTGACTCGACTCATGGTTGGTATCGACTCTAAACTTTCGGTCTCAGACATAACAGAAAAGCGGCCGTTTAGGACAAGACAGAAAGGGGTGCGATAGCACTTAATATATGAGCTGGAAATGGACCCCTTCAGAACCCTTGCTTGTGATTCTACCTCACAGATCGGGGAGGTTCCTTCCCTGGCATGAAACCTGTAGTGCGAACACCCCGGCTATTCCTACTGCCGAACCTGATGAGCAAGACCAAGGGGAACAGCGACTGGATGCGAAGGCTCCTTTCCCTACTCCCAAACCTAATAGGGATATGGCAGATCCACGGAAGACTGGAGCCCTTGCTTCTTTCGAAAGGACTAGTACTAGATCAGCTATTGGATTGACCCATGGCAAACGAACGAATACGTTCCTTGCCCCTTCCTTTGCTTTGTTCATGTCTTGGATGTCAAAACAGAAGAAGCAATCGGAATAAGAAGAAGGAAGAGGCAAACAATAATCCATACTACTACTCTTGATTATCTGGAAAGAACAGATCACTATACGACCATTCTTTCTGTCTCTGGACCAAAAGTGATAGAATCCGGCTCTTAGCGCAAAGTAGCTCTTTGGCAAGTCAACTCTTGTCCCTAATAGCTCTGAATCGGTAGGCTAAGTAAGTAGTACTTCTTCCTTTGTTTATGGTCACCTACGGCAATATAGAAAAAGAATAAGTACTACTTACTTTGTTTGGCCAGGCTTTGCTTTCTTATCTAACTCTTGAAGGAAGCCTAAAAAGAAAAAATAGGCACTTTTTTCACTATAGATAGATCGAGGTTTTTTCCATTGCCTCAAAGACAAGACGCCGTCCGATCGCCAAATACCAGACTGATTTCTTTATCTATGCAAGTAGTTCTTTCGATATGAGTTCCCTGGCGGTCTCACGCTTGTAGCTTAGGCTTGATGTAATTAACCTACCGAGGGCAATTATCATCGCGCCTTCCTTTATTCGAAACAAGAGAGGGAACCCACCTCGGACATTCAGCTACCCTTTAGGGTCAGCTTCCGCAGTGGGTGAGCTCTCGATACCTTACTCTGGGCTACCTTGTCTGAAAGCTTGGAGCGAAGGGAACGAACGAAGCGAAGTGAAGGAAAAAAGAGATGTAGTAGGGGGCCCGAGTGGAGCCTAAGCCTATCCCTTTGTTTGCATTCTTAATCGTAGCTAGCCTTCTTGCAGTTCCTGTAGCTAGAACCCGATGCCCGCCATGCGACCTGTAAGCGAGCATGGGATAAGGGCTCTATCCTTTACAGCGGCTGTAAGCCAAGACAAGACACCAGACCATTCGGAATCCGATGACTCATGCGATATAAGAACAAATAACCCCTTGCAAAGGGGGCAAGAAAGGCTTGAAAAGCCCGATTCATAGCTCTTAAAAGAGCTCCTATAGGAGCGACTGATCGAAGACGAGAAATGACTTTAACCTTCTTTCCCGGAACACATATCCAATCTCCTGGCGGGGATCGTTGTACGAGCGCTCTCTCCCAATCACCTCCCGTATTCCCTGCGGTATGAACTGGCCTTCTCAGGCTGCCCTGAGGGGCATCGGCCAGCAAACCTCGCTTTTAGTCTCAGGACTTCAAGTCTCAGGTCTTTTGACCGTCGAACTCGGCGCACTTATATTGGCAAGTCTTCTCTCCGGTCAGTAAGCGAGGGTTGCTACGTAGCTTCAGTCCTACTGTGAAAAGAAAAGCAAGCACGGTCCGTCCGGTCCGATCCAGTTCCAGGGGTATTGATACG